ATCCTCAACTTCAAAGAGGAGTTTTCATTATTTAAGAAAATCTGTATGCAATGAACGATTAAAGTTCTAAGTGTCAATACCCCAACCAAATCACAAATTGTAAGTTCCTATTCATCCCTGCACATTTCAGTGCCTCCAACTCCTGCAATTCCAAATACTTTTGACTAAAAAATATCAAGCTGATGACGCGTCTTCCTACAATCCAACAAGCTCCAACAAGAAAGATCTTAGAGAGATGTCTCTACCAGCAAACCTTAAGATAACTTGAGTAGCACTCGGGTACATTCATTAATAAACCAAAAGTTGAATCACAATAAAATCAAAATACGCAGAATCAAGGTTCATAATTTTAAAACGTCATCTCAGCAACATTAACCGTCATCCTTGAACAAATCATTTATGTAACGTGAGTTCGTGGTAAATTTCCATATTGTAATCAGCGCATGAAAATCTGCAAAATGTTGAACTGGACAAAATGGTTTTATTTCACTAGGATATTGAAACAACATTCATTCATCATAATGCAACATTCATAATAGCTCTCTTTTCATGATCACTCACAATCTCAATCAATTTTTTTCTCCATGCTTTTCAAACATGATATATGCAAAGAAATACAAGTATATGTGGAAAAACAATGTCTATGGCAAGTCTCTCATTGTCAACACAATCCGTCATGAAGCAGGAGGGCATCCATCCAGGGATATAATGTTGGACCATCTTCTTCACTATAAATAATAATTCCACCAGATCTTGTGTTTCTTCACTTTCAAGGAATCCAAAAATAATAGGATGTCCGTGTTCATATTCGTCAAACACCATAAGGGTATACAGTGGTTACTGCATGGCAAAAAATAAAATAAATGTATGAGTTTGCTGCTAGCAGTCGTCTACAAAGTCCTCATCTTCATTGATACTAAACTTGATAAAAATAAATGGTTCACTATTTTTATGTATTGATAAGCTAGACGTGATCAAGGTATATAAAAGAACATATACAGCACACATTGAGAAGTTCAATAACGTCTTACTAGACATGTTAAAGCTTCAAACCTTCATTCTTCCAAGTATCTTGCAGATATTGCAAATTGTGAGGTAAAATATACATAATCATGAAAACCTAATGATAAAAACATCAGAATGGACAAGTAGAATATTACCTTATACTTCTGCGTGCCATGCGTTCCATCCATAGCAACACAATCTCCATTTTCATGTTTTAGCAACCTTTCTAGGAGCAAGGGTCTTATAATAGCAAGCCTCAATTGTTTAAATGGATCACTTTTTGGTGCCTGATAGAGAACAACTTGAGATGAATCCATAATTCTGTGTTAATTCTATCATGAACATGCCTTCTCCAAGTTTCTTTGTCGAGTTCCAATTTGATATTATACACATCAGCAGATGTGATATATTGATCTCTAATATGTGTTCCTTGCACATAGCCTAAGCTCTGATGATTTTCAAACAGTGCTTTTGCAGCACACATGAAAATTTGTGGTGGAGTTAAACCTCTTCTTAACTCGCAATCAACCCTCCTTGGCAAAAGAACGTAGAAAATATTAGACAACGTACTTGCTTAGCGTCAAAGTTTTACAAATTGTAATAACAACAAACTTATTGTACATATTACAAATATGACAGACGATTGACTGTGAACAATAAACAAATACATTGAAAATATTACAAATATGTCGTTGCCTGCATCGGAGGATAAATTGTGCGCCATCTGAGATGGCAAGCCAACACTATCCGGACACACTGTGCCATGACAAGCTACACCTGCAGCATTTACGTGTCTTCTATGCTTGTATAACAATTTCGTGGTCCTGGTGGAATGTGATCATTAGGCAGCAGTTTAATGGCACTAAACTTGCACTGACAACCTTGTGATGAAAATCATGATCTAATCTATCCCTGCTGCCTGGATCGAATTTTGCATTTGTTGATGGATCTCGAATACAATTTGAGCAAAACATACTCTTCTTGCCACTTTCTCGAGTACCATATTTGCAATAGTACATTGTATACGATTCCCAACGGTGCCTAGCTACTCCATCCTTGTATGAGCAACGTGTCACAAATTCCGTCTTTGCATCACTATAATAAGATGACTCCTCCGAAACAATATCGTTAAGCCTCGAGCTTTTGATGTAGGCCGTCTCATTCGACCAATTCAAGATTAACGAATTGAAAGGGCCATCCCACGCTGGATCCTCCACAATCCATCATGCCTCCATGCTTTCACCACACCTGCAAAAATCACCTGAAATAACAAGAAAAGGGCAAGCATGAGCTCTAGCACGAGCTTCTCACAACACTGACACTGGCACCCAAAAGCAACGTTGAAACATCGACGAGCTGGAGTATATCGAAGTGACACTATTTTCAAAAACCCTAAACTTTACCGCCTAAAATTTTGTCGCCACGATATTCTCAGTGTTTGAGTTACATAATTACAGTTTGAATTTATTAAGGATTCCAATTTAGGTATCTCTCCTGCGATTTAGTTTTAGTTTAACTAAAACAGCGGCCTCTACATGACTCTACATGGTTGTCAGAATTTAATCCGGTTGACGGCCTCATGGTTGTCGGAAAGTTAGGTCCGCCAACCCTCAAGTACCCAAAACTGAGATAAAATCAAGTTATCTAGGGGCTGCCCGAATGGAGCATGAAGAAGGAAAGAAAGAATAGAAAGAAATTGGGATCCTTGACACCTGGCAGTTTGTATAAGTTTGTGCAACTAACCGAGTCGATTGAGGACCACGGGGAGAGCATACTGCTTACATTATCCTGGAATATTCTCTTCTGGTCCCATCGGAGGCCGTCTTTTCGTTGTCCAGAGTTCACTGTCTTGAAATCTATGAACATCTAGCTCACTGAGATGCTCCCATCAGGCTACAGATTTTTTATAAACTTTTCTGTCGAGTCCAGTCGAAGATTCAACGAAGTCAATTACTGCACCCTGTGAAACGAGGAGGAATAAGCAGACCCGCATAGGCAAGACCCCGAGCGTGCTTGCATAACCGTCGTCATAAAAAACAGAAACTGAGTTTCAAGTGGAGTAGCATGTGGGTTGTGAGATCCGAATCTGTAAATCATATGGAGGTTCTTCTGATTGTTTGATATCAACTTTCCATGGAATGTGTTCTTCCACTCCAGCCGGGATGCACGAGAGTTTAACTGTCAAATGGTGCATTGCTTTTTGTGGGTTTTCGTCCGTATGGAACATATTTTCTCACTGTTCCGCAATGTTTTGCCATGAAGGAGATGGCAGGACTTTATGGCTTCTGATTGTGGATGGAAGCTGTGAGTTGAACACCGCTAACTTCGACTTCACGAGGACTCGACATTGCATCACAAGTAATCTTCTGAGAATAGAGCATGATTGTCTCCTGTAATGAGAATCTAGACTTCACTTGATAGCTTTAGAAACAGAAGAAATGGGCAGTTTGGATTCAATTTGGATGTCCGAAGTGAGTGATCCAATCCTGGTACAGTTCAATTAGATGAGAGGACAGTAACTGCAGGACACAAGGATAAGTGAAAACCACAATCAGGTGGTTCAAGGGCAGCTGAAGCAATGGGCCTGCGATTTTCAGTCGCATGTAGCTGCCAGCATGACTTACAAACAAGAGCAGCATAAGAGTGCAAGCCCGAGCTTGCGAGCGTAAGGTGTGACAGCTTCAATAAATCTAGTAGCGAGTCTTCTAGCTTCATTTGACATGCACCAAGGAGCTCAAACTCGTTAGAGTTGTGTGATTATGGCATCCTTAGCAGATCTCGAACCACTCGAACAATCACAATCGAAATCGAAGTACGGAGAATCGCCAGCCATGTTGTTGCCAAGTCACAGAGTAAGATGAGCGGTGACAGCAACTCCAACTCCAGAATATTGTTCCCTCCACTTATTCTCCATCTATCATGCATCGAGCACATGCTCGCAGCAAAAAGGTTAGGAGCAATGGAGACAGGAAAAGGCGACAGTGAGCTAGGTGGCCCGCCCAAGACTTGCCGTTCGAAAAGTCAACATGATCAAAGCACTGTTAAGCTCTATCTTTAGATCGATTAGTTCTAAAGATGTCAGCCGCTGCAGTTCTCATCATACAAAGCTTCCTTCTCACGACTCCTGGAATGAGCAAGAATGGTTCATATCCTACGAACAGCACCAGCAGGAGAAAGAATGACCTCTATACTGATTCTGCGAGGTTTCTCTCCAGCTCTTCCTCGTTTCGGCATTTAGTAACTAAGTTCTTCCAATATCATCACTACTGGGCTACAGTGTACAATGCACTGTTCCACTTCATTTCAAAATGAAAAGTTTGTTTCTAAAGCTGGGATATGAACAGCTATCTCAGAAGCTGATGGTAGCTCTGAACGCTCTTCTCCTCGGACGGGCCCATATACCAGGCAGATGCAGGATGACCTTTCGATAACCGAAGCTAAGTGTAAATTGTCATCACACTTAGCTAGAATTCTGCATGCGCAGTGTTCTCTATTTGGAGTAGCATATATTCTGATGTTAGGGGACCAGCTAAGCTGTGGCCTGCTTTGGAATAGGTGAAATGTTGCTGAGCCAACATCCTCTTGAATCCATCAGTATCGAAAGCTTTAAGTTTGCACCGGTTACGCCCTCTCAGTGAGTGAGTGCCCTCTTTCGAAATAAATTTCATTCTTTTTGGGAGTCTCAAAGCCTCCAACTAAGTAACAGCTTTTACCAATGCGTGCCTACGGTTGTTGCCCACATGTCATTACGTTCGCAGTAAAGGCAGTGCCACACATTTCTTCAAATTTGGTGGCGAAAGCGGCGATTCGCTTGGCTGCATTCCTAGGACCTTTATTTCGAGACGCATTATGGATTCCTTTGAACTTTGACGTTACTGGTGGAGAAATCAGAAGTATGGTGTTAACATGAAAGAAAGAAAGCTGCTTGCAGACTTGAATTGAAATCTCGCGATTCGAGCATATTTGCAGAATTCCCATCACAATTAAGGTCAACGCATGCATGCAGTGATAGAGCTGTACAGTTGTGTCAAGCAGAACGAAACGTGAGCTTCAGGTTTTTTCACACCAGTGTGAAAATAACCTTCGAAGGACCTTAGAAAAATATCTCTATGTCGCCTCGAACAGCTTTGAATTTAAAACACCGACTCCATCACATTGCGAAGGGAAATACAAAGCACAGCGTCAGCGACCGTCGTCTCATGGAATGAGCAGACGACACTTGTAACAGAATGAAATTGAGCCCACCTAAGTTCTTTGCACCAGCTACCTCCCGCTTTTTTCATGGTGGTCATTTGCGATCCCCAGCTACCCTTCATGTCTCTCCGGAATCGAAGATTCGAAAGTGATCGATAAGATGTTGCTAGACTCATGCATGCATTGATTGCCACAGCACTGTACAAGACACCTGAGTCTAGAAACTTTGAGATGCGAGAAGTCTTTTGACAGGAACAGGACTCACGGAATTGAGCCTCTATGCGATCATTGGACCGTTCGAACAAGGGTGGATTTCTACTGCTGGGACAAATTTTAATGCTTTTGTTGATTTGAAGGTAGAATAATACGATTCTTCACGTCACAGAACCAGCACAGAGGCTGCAATCAGTACTACCAGGCCTACTGTCATGCTGAGATGATTCTGAGAGTACATAGGAGTATAAGTGCTTGCAGCACCTTGTGACTGTTGGCCTGATACCAGTTCTTCAGCGATAATGTTGAATGGCTTGCTGTTGAGATCCACTCCAAACGATCTTCCTTCTGCAAAGCCGATCAGAGGTTTGCTGAATTTCCAAGGCGACTTTACAATTCTTAGCTAAAAATTCACTTCACTCTTGGATCAAGCGAAATTACCTCGCAACTTCGTTAACTTTGTATCATCGAGCACGCTAGTGTCTTTCTTTTCCCCAATCTTCCGAATGCTAGTTTCGCTGGATGCATTGTACACGCGTCATTCTTAGAAGCATCACAGATTCTATACTCACAACGATTGATATCTCACACTGTACCCGACTAGTTTCATTTATGTCAATTTCTTAGTCGATGAACTAATTGTCTGATACATCTTCGTTTGACACCTTGAGCAGACAATCTCCACCACAAGAGCGATCGGATAACATCTGCAGCGAATACGGATGATGGTATCAATTAAAACTTATTAGTATCCTCTGCTCATGATACGGTCGAGATCTGCGGACATATTTTGAATACAGAGTATGGATAGAAATCGAACTTCGAGGAACGGGCAATTTGTAACCAGCAGTGATCGAAATGAATAGGCGCTCGACCCAAGGGACTGCCCTGACTGAGAAAAATCACGGAGTCTGCTAAAATTGAGGCAGTTTCTTCGCTCGCCAGAGAAAAGTCGGTGCAGCTATCCTGACATTTCGCCTCTTGTTTATGAGCAGAGTTAGAAGCCGCATCAATTACCGGGTACAACACCGCAGCAGAAAACAGCTCCTGTTTCTCTTTCCGCTAATGTTTCCATATGTCTACCTCTATATCTTTATTTTGTGCATCCAGACTTGTGTTTACAGACTAGTTTGCTTCTTGACTATGTCCTACGCGGTCGTCATATTTATTTACTTCTTCCTATGGTCGAATGTAGACCCATCAGACCTACCTATAAGACGCATTATTTGTCAGTTTTCGCCATTCTAAAGGTACTGTGCATAGACTTTGACTATCTTGTCATCGACATTCTTCAATTAGTGAGCATTCCTGTAATCAGAATTGGAGCTGACAGTTCTATCCAGCATCAGAATTCTCTCAGTTGTAACCAGTCCTTCAAAATTTGGGTGCATTCTGCTCAATTTCTCCAACATTTTCGGATAGCAACGCTTTCACGAATTGGAACGATAAACCGGGCAGAATAGATGGAGAATTTATCTTCGTCACTCCTGTTTTTATGATGCAGTTATGCTGTTGATTATACCTTCATTTGTAATTAATATGAGTCATTGTAGAGGATCAATGTGTGCACCAATAACAAGCGTAACAATGTTCCGCTACTAGTGACTGTTAGTTTTGTTGACCACACTTTCCTTTTCTACACGAAAATGGTCATAAAGCCGCACAGCATTCAACGGATTCCTAAACCATACGGCAATACAATCACAAATTGTGTATGTTGTGGATTCAGTCTTCAGTATAGAATTGCCTATTAAAATATGTACCTCCTAGATGATTTGCTGTTGAAATGTTTGCGTAGGGCAAAGGGACTCGTCCAGGTTTTCAAAAGTTTCCGGTCGCTCATTGTGGATTCTTAGCACATGGAATTCAACGCGGAAGAAAACACAAAGTTGTGGAATGTTCAGTCGAAAAGCGTCTTACCTGAACTTTATTCCTTGTATGTTCACCCGGAAAATCTACGCCTCGCCTTCTTTATTCGTATACCCTACATTTCTAGTATTCAAATTCATGCCTTGCATGAAACTTGAACATTTCGCTGGATCAAGGATACCGCATGTACGATGAAGATCCAACATACAAAACATGCGACCACCCACGCACAAACAAAAGAGGGAGTTACGCATTGCGCAAGTCAACAACTTTCATGACTGGACGAAGGCATTGTTGATGACACAATGTGGAATTAATCCTTTTCTTGAATGCAATGCTAGTTTTCTGAGAAATTGGCTTGAAGGGACCCATCAGAATGTTGAATGTTTGATGGGACCCTTGAAGTTCCATTTTACCCTATGGAACCTTCCGACGGGCAATTCAGTCCATCCAGTTCTTGTAATTCCTTTCAATCCGGGTTACGAAAAGCACTGAGGCTCTTTGTTGAAAAGTGAAATTCACTTCACGGACCAAAATAAGCCACTGACATGATTTCCACCAAAAAATTTAGAAAAAAAAATAATGAGTGTGTAGATTATGCCCATACATTATAACTGTAAAATCATTATGGTACATGAAAAATTAGACTCTTCCATGATGAAGATTGAGAGCCATGTAAAATCAAAGAAATTATTTTTTATCATTGAAGTGAAAACAAATCAATTACAAGAACATAACTGATGGTAACCGGTCAGAGCGGTCCATATGGGAAAATGAGAAAATGACACGTATTGGGTATTGGGTCCCATCAAACAGTCAGGTTCTGATGGGGTCCAATAAGCAAATTTCTCTTAGTTTTTTGGAATGTATTTGACAAGCTCGGTTTTCGAATTCTTTTGGACTCTTGCATGCAAAATGGCAATAAATGACCAAGTATAAGAACATGCAAACTTTGTACTGCTGAGAAGTTAAGCAGCCCCACATTCAGTGGAATAACTGTGCCACTTTTCGGCCATTCATGCAAATGGTCTCGACCAACAGCAATAAAAGCTGTTAGCATACGCACCATGGATCTATATATTCTACCAGGTTCCCTATCTATTATTGTCATCTACGATTCAACTGTGTAAAGGACTTCAAAGGAAACTAGAACGTATACAATCTCTGATTTTCTCAAGAACATTTCTTTAGTGCATGTTGAAAAATCTTCAGTTTCAGTATGTTTTGAAGTATGTACTTGAGCGATGCAACGGGGTTTGCGTGTATATGAGCAGTTGTACACGTTTGGACTTTGGAAAGTAGGTCTGTATATGCAGACCGTAAATAATAGGAAACCAAAGCCGCCGAACTATGCACTTTGTATTGCAATCATTCTTTGATCTACAATACCTAGAGTGCACTAAACACATGACTTATTTCAATAATTATCTGTTTGAAAAACATCTATATTGTGCTTCTCACATAGTTCATTGGAAAAAATTTTATATCATTATTTTTTTACATTATACAACTATCAGTCATACATCCAATTGTGATACAAACGAGTTAGTTAATTTTACACCTACTGTGAATATACAAGTATTGTATATACTTCATTACTATTCAAGTACAGCATACTTTTAGAAATGTCACATTTGCATAAAGGATATATATTTTTCCTCAAACTCCAAAGAATTTATATCGTTTGAACATCAGTCTAAACAAAATTATTCCATTTTTATTTCTTCGAAACTTGATGAAATGCATGTCTTTGTATTCATGATTAGTACTCCGCAAGGTAACGTAAAAGTTATTGTCCATTGCATGGACTTTTACTTTACTCAAACCACTACTATCTATTTTTAACTTTATCTAATGATAATTTACCAATTTACCCGGCACATATTCTCTATGTGTATCACAACTATGATTTTAGTCCAATATAACGTAGGAAAATTGAGAGTGTAACATTGCAATGACATCATCTTCGAGTAACTACTCATTACAAACGCCTCGCTCCTTCTCAAGCTGTTGTACGATCAACTACAAAAAAAATTTCTCGCGTTCAGCAAGTATAGTTGTGATAAATCTGACCGTCAGAGTCTAATACAAAAAAAATTGTAAACACTGAGGAAATTACTACTTGAAACTTGGAAGTATGCCACAGACTACGCAGCCACGCCATGAACTCTGTGACGGGATTTTACAATGGTCAAAGGATACCCTAAAAAAATTTGGTAATACATTCAGCTTTACCTTTACTCTACGCGTTACCTTACCTATAACCCAACCTTTACATTTTACTTCTCACTTTTACTGATTTACCTAGTAGTAGCATAAGATTACCCTACCTTGCTGAGACCTATTCATGATATTATTATAAGTTTATTTAATATTTGAGTTTATTTATCTTCTATAATTATCCTACATCATTAATAACTATATATGAATCAATATATTGTGAAAAAATACGTTTTTAAAATTAAAAATTTTGATTGAAATTATTTAGCTCAATGGAATTAAATGCATCAACATATTCATCCTTAGTGATCATGTGAATGAAATCTTGTACTATCGCATTGAAATAGAAACATTTAATAAAGCATCAGGGGAAGCTTACTTTTGCTCCAATATTAAATCAAATTATCATATTTGAAACTAAATTGTCAAGGTTGAGTTGCTTCATCTCCAGAAATTTTGATTGACTCTTTTGGCACAAATGCATACTCCTTCCATTTTGCTTGCAGCTGTTGTTCTTATCCTTCGCGCATCCACCAATCATGACACATGGTGGTAGTTCATCATACTCTTTCTCAGCTTCTTGCAATGGCAACATCTTTTGAATCTCTTTCTTCATCTAATTCTGCACTTTTCTAGGCTCTGAAGTATTTCAAGATTACTGTTGACTATATCGACTAACGACCTTCAATAGAGTAGTTCTTTGCCTCAAACATCACCTATTGGTGATGTTTCAACAACTCTATTCTTGATCTGTTAAATAGTACATAACCTTGGTCACGATACTAAATGTTACAACATCTTCAACCACGTTATACACTTGTAACGCAATTGCAAGAAGACTAGTGACATAAGTTGTCAACATATCATGATCCATCAAATCTAAAGGTTTCTTGCCGGAGATTGCCAACCTCCTCACTATGAAAATCTCATTTTGTCCAACCATGCTTGTCTTCCATGATCCATCGCTTGATACTAACAAGTACTTGGATCCTCAAAAACGTGAGGATACTGCACATGCATTTACATCCAGCAAGGTAAACAAGCTAGAAGTAATCAAGCAGTAGCAAAGCTGATGCAGATTGAATGTCCGTTGCTGACAAGAAATTTAGAGTATACTAGCTCAAAAAAGTCTTCATTTTCCCATACCATATTCACAAAAGCGTCAATCGTATGAGAGGACCGGAATTTGCTTGTGAATGGAGGCCACGTTGTCTGCTCGTATCTTGATTCTTCTTGCCTTAAAATTGCTTTTAACAAGTGAAGCAGTCAAGGCTCTAGAGCATGGCAACTACTCCAGATCGGCCTCATCAAACTCTGCGCGTTATGCACTACATACTCACTCTTTTTACCACTAACCCTAAAGACTCCTCCTCCACGACTCCCACTTAGTATTTCTACCAGACTGGTAGAATGGACTATGAAACATTACGAGCCATAGATGTCAAAATCCCTCTAACAACCCTAAATTATTTTTGGATCTATTTTTTCCCCTTTTTGAGGGCCCTAAAATACCATTTCACTCCAGAATTGCTCCGAGTCCCAAAATCTATCCATATATTACTTCTTGCCCACTAAAGATTCCCGTAATTCAACAATTAACTTGAGTCCAGACTAAGAACACTCAATGTTATTCTATCTAAACTATGGAGTTTTTAATTCAATCTTTCCTTCTTACTACTCATCCAATGATTTGTCATTACTAAAATTAATGTCAAATGTGGGTTCACAAGAGATGAACATTAAAATCTAAGAAATAGAATTTAAACTCATTCAATGTTTGTGTTAGAAGGATGAATCTCTTATCAAAACACGGGAGCCGAGCACATGTGATGGGTCAGGTTCAATTTATGTAGGAACAGAGAAGGTCTCTCAATCCTTTTGATTATATAACTGTACATGGTGCTCCCCCACAGCTGGAGCCCAAACGTTCGACTGTACGAATTGTTTCTGGAGGGAACACGTTGAAGTAACGAAACTCTGTACATCGACCTGACGACACAGTCCCTCCCGTCCAATTATGGCGCGAACATTTGGATCTCGACGTGGATTGCCCAAATATTCCAAACTGGGAAATAAAGGCGAAGACTTGAACTGTAGGGGCGTGCTTCCTTCATACAACACTGATTTTTCACACGCTCAGTGAACTCCGTGTCAGCTGAGAACAGGGATGGTAAGAAACTGTTTCGTACACTGATAGAACAGCCCGATTCGATGCCCTCGCGCGACGTGATGCGTGACATTGGTCTCATTCGTAGCTCGTTATCACGGTTCGCTTCTCATCCTCGCATAAGTTTATAGGCAGAACGTCGACAAGGAGTTCTGATGGACCATTCCGTTGACACATGGATTCCAGCCCTGACGTGCATGTACTGCTTCGTGGATTTAGGGGAGTAAGTCTGCAGGTTGGATATGACTTTCCCAGTGGCAGAAAGTTTTGTTACTCGTACTTGGCAGTTTTTATTGTTTCTCTCGAAACCAACGACCGAGGCCGACACCGACAGTAGACATCTAACGGGCAGTGAGTATGACATTGCCAGTGTGATGGACTCTGTGAGTGTCCACAACCACGGTCGTTATGATGAGTGGTGCAATACATTCAA